AAACAAAAATATTTCTTGGTAAAAGTGATTTTATTAAATAAGTTTTGAACAAATATATATCTTATAAAAATATTATCAAACATGCATTCTGAATTAGATTTGTTGAAAACTCGCATTTTTGAGCTTGAGGTTGAAAATACGAAGCTTAGATAGACCATAAAAGAAAAATCTGATCTTGAGACTGAGAATTTCAGGTGTAAAGCTAAAAATGCTAAACTTAAAGCTGAAGTAGCGAAATGAAGACATGCATTGAGGAAATCAAACTACAAACCTGAGTTACTACTAATGAACAGAATGCATATCTTATTGAAGATATTGCACAGTCCTCAGTTTGTTTAGAATCACTAATAACTCTTGAGACCCAAAGGAGCACTAGAGGGACATCCTCCAATTTACTGCCTATTAAAGATCTCTCTGATAAGAAATATAGTGTCAGTGTTAACCTAAGCCAGCTAAAAGCTGAACCTATATCATTAGAAGATAAGGAGATTAATGAATTTTTGAATTCAAAATATAAGAAAAAGGTTAGTAAAGAGATAATTCAGAGCATAAAGAAAAAAAAGCTTCAAGAACATGATTTATCTTTACCTCAATCATGTAATGTAAAAACTGTGACAAAATGTCATGATTAAAATTATGTGCTTGACAATTCTGATATTATCTTTTTGAAATATCTGAATCCAACAATCAAATCATAGAAGGTTTAATACAAAAAATAACCTGTAATCAAACATAAAGTATTGTTTCTCCCAAAATCAACTCTATATCTTCGAATAAGTCTTGTATACAGAATATGATTCCAGGCTCTGTACAAGACTTATTTGATAAAGCAGTTAAATCAGAACAGAAACAAATTTTATATTGGTATTATTATTCATTAAAATTCGAAATACGATTAAAAGCCTTATAGCAGATGGTAAGATTAAAGATAAAGTAGCAGATCAAAAATATATAAGGAAATGAAACCTTTTCTACCTAATATTATGGATGTAAATTTGCATAAAAAAACTGAAAAAGCTCGAAAAATTCTTAAGCTATTTGGTAAAGGAGGAGTAGGTATAAATAAAATTAATTATATTACATATAGTGCAAATACTATTTTGAAATTGAAAGATACTCAAATTCAATATATCATAAATCAGGTGGTATCAAAAACTGTGACAAAATGTTACAATCAGAATAATTCTAAAGTAAGTGAATCCACCACAACCCTATTCTTTCAGATCTGGACAATTTACCAAACACTGAAATATCAGCAAAGTCTTTATCAGAAGCTTAAATAAGTGCATAACAATTGTATATTACAGAACAGTTCGCTGAAAACTCAGGTACCGCAAATGATCATTTTATCTATATCACCCAAATGATAATTTCTAATTTATGTTTTATTGCAGAGCAATGGCTCTTTGAGCCTACCAAACAATCCTGAAGAAAAACAGCAACATGTTATTAAAGTAGTATTAGAGTGATTTCCTGATTTAACTCTAAAACATAGCTTTAAATATAGTAATTGTTTTGATTTTAATAGATCAGTACTCTGCCCTATTTGTAATAAAAATCATAAAAAAAAAATATAAGAAATTATATAGAGAGTTTTGAGGGTAATGGTGAATATTATGACAAAAAAACTTATCATCTCAAATGTCGGAGAGATAAATATCAGAATTCAATTCAAATAGTAACTGTAAAATATAGATTAATAAGAAAACTAGGTATGACTCCATTATCTTCATCTGCTTTTTTATAATAAAATTACTTGAAGTTGTAAAGTCTGAATTTTGCTTTTATGAGTTCAAAAGTAATCACTTATTTTCTAATTTTGAGCAAATAATTGTGAGAAAGCAGAACTACATTGTAAAAAATTATAGAAAAAATAGGAGCTTACTGGATTCCTTTTTTTATTTAATAAAAATTGTTATCAGATTAACAATATACAAATAAAAAAATATTTTATAATAAAAAAATATAATATATAAGGCATGATTATAGATAGTTATCAGCATAACTAGGATTTATAACATTTTAGTCATTATTTTTTTTATATTTTTCTACAGCTTTTCTCAAAATAGAATAGAAGAGATCATTGTTTAGTTTTAATATAATAAAAAATTTAATTAGAAAATTATATTTTAGAGAAATACTCAAAACCCATTCTAGAAAAATATAAACTTAATTACACAATATAAAATTTAGTTATAAGTTTTATTACTGTATTGAGGTTTTCGATTAGATGATCTGGATTAGACATTACTGGGTTAGATGGTGTTAAGTTTGGTAATGCTGAATTAGACAATGTTGGGTAAAATAGTGTTGAATTGGTAAAATTATTAGTACTGCTTATTTTTGAATTTTTAAAAATAAAAAATTATAATGAATAAGGTTTCATCTCAATTATCATTCTAGAAAACAATTATAGGTCAAACCTTCTGTATAAAAACAAATACACATATTAGAAATAAATTACAAGTGAATTAAATAAAAAAAATTATATATAAGCAAAAAATATTATAACTTATTCAACAAAAAACAAAAACAGCTTATTTTTATACTTAATATTTATTAGATTTAAGAACCTGTTAGAAAAAAAAGATACATAATAAGTAATTATATTACTCTAGTACTGTCAAATTACATTTAACAAAACAACTTTATTTTAGTTATATATTCTAAATACTGAATCTAAAGGAGTTTAATTTATTTAAAAAAATAACAAAATAGATTTAAAAATTATATTGCAAAAGTTAAAAAGACTAGATCTTAATGATTTCAAAATATGACAGATATTTGAAGGCCCTTTAACATATAAATTTTAATAACATTACTGATAAAGAATGTTGTACTTATTTTCTTTATAGTTTTTTTAAGTCTTATTTATGCTTTTTTTATTACAGAATCATATATTACAAGTCAAATAAATAAATAAAAGGTAAATAATAGATAAATAACAAAAAAAAATCTGTTATTATTCTATCCTATATTTGCCAAATAATGGCAGCATAATAGCAATATAACAGCAGAATAACAGTAAAATAACAGAAGGTTTGTCAATATAAATAACATAATAATAACATAATAGCAAAATAAAAAAACAGTTTTATTATTTTGTTATTATACTATTATTATATTATTTATATTAACAAATCTTCTGTTATTTTACTGTTATTTTGCTATTATGTTGCTATTATGCTACTATTATTTGGTAAATATAGAGTAGAATAATAGTAGATGTTTTTTCTATTATTTACTTATTATTTATCTTTTATTTATTTGTTCAACCTGTATATAGTAAAGAAAAAGTTATATAACTTATTTATAAGTAATATTCATTCTAATGTAAAAAAATAATTATATAGTAAAGTATTATAAAACATATGCTCAATTTTGTATAACTTATATTACTGTTTTATCTATATAATAATTAGAAAATATTAATAGTTAATTATATTAAATTCATATGTGCAATTAGAAAATAATCAGAAAATATTAATATTTAATTATATTAAATTCATATACATGATTATAAAATAATCACAAAATGAATATAAGTAAATAACTCTAGTATTATTTTTAACAAATAGTAGTCAAACAGATTTGCCAAATACATATTATAATGTGATTCAGATTTGATTATAAACAATTTAATTATTAATCAAAAAATGTTTTTAGCATACAGTCAAAGTCATAAGTATCCCACCCCCTCTAACTTTTTAAATTGAAAAGATATAGCTTTAAAATTTTTACAGC